AATGTATTTAAAAAAAAAACAGATGACAGTATTTGATTAGAAGGTATATATAGTGTACCTCCTGGTCAGAAGCTGGAGTTCTGAGGCCAGACTAGTCAAGCTAAATTTTGACTTGTCATTTAGCAGGTAAATGGTAGGTAGCTATAAGGTACTTAAAATGTTATTAAAAAGATCATCATTTTATCCTGATTTTTCTGTGAGAACTTGTATCAGATTCTCATACACAGTTTGCTTGCTTGATCTTCTAACCTCTAGAATTTTATTTTCTTTGATCTCCTTTTCATTTCTTAGCCTTGGGCCATTTAAAACTTTGCAAATTATAGTATCTAAGTCTCAAATAGCTTTTCTTCTGGCTTGTATGTACCACAATCTCCATCAACCTGTATTTAATTCCTCAGAGGCCTCTGTCCGTTCTCTGCTAAATGAATTTCTTTCATGATCCAACACAACCTCATTGTCCTCCAGTTCTACAGCTTTAATCACCCTTCAATCTTCCCTTCATCAAAATTTCAAACCTTTAATTTCAATCAGTCCATACCCTTTTCTCTTCCTCATTCTGACTTTGTACAGTGCTCTTATTTGGAAAGGAAAATCCTTAAAATTTTACATCTGAGTGCCAGCACATAATAAAATTCTGACTTATTCTTTATTGGGTGCTTTCCACACATCAGGCGAAAAAGGATCAACATCTGTTCTCTCGATTGGAAAGACAGATAATACTGCTCCCTGTTTCAGAGATGAGAGCCCAGTGCCTAGAATCCGACAGGAACTTGACAAAGATCAGAGCTATGGTAAATAGCACTGGCTAATTAGGAATGCTGCCATTTTCACCAGAGCAGTTTATAAGTACAATGTCACATGCTTCTCCTAAGAAGCTTGTGATGCATTGCTAAGCTTTCTGCCCTGTGCTCCCTCTTGGCTCCACAAATACTCTGATTTTATCATTCCTTTGCATTAGTTTGGGAGTTCCAAAATCTCTATGATATTTTTAACTTCAGAAAAATAAAACATGTTCATAGTTCGATAAGCTTTCTATCCCCAGACACAGTAGCTCTTAGGGATTTTGAATCTAAAATGTCTCCCTATATGTTTATATGTTAATCAGATATCCATATTTGACCATAATATCCATATTGATCTCTGTCTCTAGTCTTTGACACTTGCAGATGAGTACCCTAGGGTAAACTTTGTTCCCACAGTTGGTCTTTGAGTCTGGTTACTGACATAGTTTCTAAATCCCTCAGAGTTTTCTTAGTTAAAAAACATCATTGTTCTTTCTAAATAGACAATCCTAGTGACTTTGGCACCAGGGGTTGGATGATAAGTAGAACAACCTTGTGATTTGAAGTGTTGAACTTTGGATTCTTTTGCTTTTACGTCCAAAAGGCTGGGATTACAACACACTTCTCCCAGACACACATATTATTTAACATCATAATTTTAACATTCATTGCCATTCTATTATTGTGTCTTCCTTACTGCTGCTGTTTGTTGGTGCCTTTCCTCCTTGTGTATTGTGCTAAGTTCATGTGGGGAACTTAGTTCATTGTGCTACTTATATGGGGAAAGCATTGAATACAGCAATGTGCTTTATTTTGTGTTTTAAATTACAAAATAAATAAGCATTTAGTAGACCTTTAGTTTCAAAATGGTTTAGCTTGCTTTTCCTAGTTAATACTTGGTAATTTTTTTTCCGTCGTGGTCACATATATTGACATCAGAAATGAGACCACCATGAAACTTTGACATATATTTAGATATTGCTGACAGCAAGATTACTCAACCTTCCATTGGTCAGTACTTGGAATAATGTCTGCATCACCAGGATCTGCCCCTAATCAACTGCACTCTATAAATATTTCAACATAGAGTTATTCCAAAATCATCAGATATATTCTAAAAAAAAAACTCTAGAAAATGTCAACACCATCTCCCATCCAGATCTCTTCTTAGATTTAACTATTTTTATAAGTTAAAAGCAATTTCAAGCTGCCTGAAAAGTAATGATCTCTAAATACATCTCTCTGGGTAAATGTGTTGTCATGAACCTTATTATTTGAGACAAAGATGTTAACTGTTGCCTTCCTCTAAGTCCCCTCTGTAAAAACCATCACCAACTCCTACAAATTTTACTTCCAGATGTTCTCAAATTTGTATGATGCTATATTCCCAGACTCCTGTATTCTAAATCATGTTTGCTTTGTTTTAATTCGAACCACTGTAAAGGAGTGAGATCTTAGGTTATTTCCTCGCATGCAATCTTAGGTTCCCTCAAAAGTCACACAACAGTGCAAATGAATCACACAGCATTTTTCAGGTACTGGGAGCTTGTCTAGATTCTTCCAGTGTTTACACTCCCATAGACCCTCACTATAAGGGGGTGTTATTTCTTGTCACCATTTGACAGGTGAAGAGAAACTGAAGAACAGATCATCTGAAAATTCTGCCCAAGAGTAAATGGCAAAGTTGAGATGTAAACTCAGTGATATTAGCTTTATGCTTGATGGTCTTCGCAACTATACGATACTATCCCTGAAGAACATAATCCTTCCCATATTAAAGGCCTTCTGTTATTCCTAAATTTGTTCAAATATCACAGCCTTTATGCATGACATATTCTTTTCACCCACCATGGTTTTAAGTACTTTTTATTCTTTATATGTTTCCTTAGCCATTATTTCTTTAGAAATTCTTCATCAAATTAGCGTGACTAATTACTTATAGAAGGCAACCATTTGTTACAAGTAAAATATTTTATAATTTTGTGATAGTACACTAATTTGCATGTTGTACACTATTTGATCCTGTCTGTTTAATACGGTCTGGTGCATGGGTGTCTACAGACACACACACACAAACACAGCCTGCCAAATACATGCTTGAAATAAATACAAGAAGATAACACAAGAAAGGCAGATTGGAAGCGAGGTATGGAAATAAAGATGGAGATACTGAGGTGGAAAGAGAAGAGAGAGTGAGGGTCAGGGAGGGAGGGGGGAATAAAAAAGCATGATGATGGAGAGAGAGGGAGAATGTTGAAAATATCTGGCAAGAATATCTCAAAATAAGCCCTCCGATTAACCATGTTATTATATCTTTTCTCACCCAGTTTCTATTTAAACAATAGTAATTGCTTCAAGATAAACCACTGGGCAAATCTACGCATCTAGTTGTTCCCCTTTTATCTGTGAAATATGTGTTTGGAGATCCATAGAGGATGGCTAAAACCATGGAGAGTACTAAACCATAAGTGTGCAGTCTTTTTTCATCACATACGTACCTGTAGCACAGTTGAATTTGTAAGTTAAACACAGAAAGAGATTCACAGTAACAACTAATGCAGAGAGAGAGAGAGAGAGAGAGAGAGAGAGAGAGAGAGAGAGATTATTACTATGTGTATGTGTGTAATAATAGCACTCTACAGGAATAAGTGATTTGATAACATTCCTTTCTCAAATAATTACACTGTAACCTTCCGTTAACAAAGACTGGAGATGACATCAATGTCTACAGCATGAGATGAAATAAGGTGAAGGATGCAGGCCTTGTGGTGCATCCATAGAGAGTATTTGGACAAGAACATCACGATACCTTGACAGCAGCTCTCTTAATTCAGATGGCTATTATGTGGCTAAAGGCTGGGTAGGGTTTCCAGCATGGATTCACTGGAGAAAGGATGGCTCACTTCCTTACTGTGGTGCAGCAGAACAGTGAAAACCTACCATTCTCAGAAAGGTGCATAACTTAAGACTCATAATGTCTTTAGTTCTGGAATATTCCATTTAAAATATTCAGACTACTGTGAATGCTAGTATCAGAAATGGCAGAAAACTAATGTGTGGGTAATAGGATATGGTCATATTAGAAAACCTACATTTACATAGAATTTGATTCCTTATAAATTTTACCCATTCAAATTTCCTAAAATATGTTTTCAAATCATGAAATTTCAAATGTTTATAAATATTATACTTTCTCTGTGTACTGATTTTTGCAAGTCTGGTAATAGGCAATAACCTATATTTTATGACATAATTGTACCTGACATAATTTTTATAATGCATGTACCTTAGATGATTTTTAATTTTTGATAATGTCAATTCATTGGATTTCTTGACTTAATAGTATTTTATTTACCTGATTCCAAATAAATTTGAATGTGAAGATAGGTAATACTTCACATCATGCTTCCTTCATGAGAATTTATGCCATAAACATGGTAAGTTTTTGAAAAGGCTTTGGAGTATAGGAACCTACTGAGCTTCTTTAGTGATTCACTAATGTATATGGCCTTTTTTCCCTGTGGAACAATATTGGGTTGCTGAAAAAAGTCATTTAAAAAGCATATAGAAATTAATGCATAAATCTTTGTATTATATATTTATTATTACAGTATCTGAAAAAAATATAAAACTAGAATGCATCAGGAAAGTATACCTGGTTGAAGAATGAAATACTGAGATTTTAAAAACTCATCCAAAACAAGTGTATTTCATCATTCACTTAGAACATAATTTTTCTTATGTTTACTGGAAGAACAATAAGATAGGAAAACAAATTTGTTTGTATTCATGCTAGTAAAACAGTTGAGACAAAAATACTTTCTTATTCTAACATGTTCCAATGTGTAAGTTGTAATAGTGTCCTTGAAGCAAATATCACACTTCTATTTTGTTAGAAAACATTCAATATTTTTATTTAGAAAATCCAAAAAAAAAAATCCATGGACAAAATAAGAGCTGAATAATTTGCAATTTGAGTGAATTTCTATTCTTAAGACAATATGCATCTATGAGAATCATGTTATGATAACTGTACAATTTAGGGCTTCAGTCCCTGAAGAATAGAGTATTAGACCTAAGAAAGATATATATATATATAATAAACGATAGTAAACCCCAAATATCTATCACTTCATCTTTAATCTAAGTGACTAGAAGATCTCTCTCTCTCTCTCTCTCTCTCTCTCTCTCTCTCTCTTTCTCTGTGTCTCTCAATCTCTCTCTCTCTCATTTTATTGTTTAGTTCTAATGGTCAGATCTTTCTATTTGGAGTCATTTGACTAGTACATGCATGATAATTATCACAGAGGCATATTTAGTTTTTCATTTTCTTCAGAGCTTCCTACTGCTGTCTCATTGCTGTGCTTACAAGAAATATCCACTGCTAGCACACAAACATTTGGTCATACACAAGTAAATCATTTTGAGTATATAACAATTAAAAAGTTTACCTGATATTAGTAGCTGCAAAGAGATAAAAATAGCTTTGAGTTGAGACGTTACCTCAACTCTGTGTCTGTTTAATTAATCAGAGACAAGCAAATGAATACAAGTGACACCTGTATGCCACTGACCAAAGCATCTTCCAACAGAAACAGTAAGCTACACAGATGAAAACTAGGGTTAAGACAATTGTAAGTGTGACTTGTGACCGAAACCTAGGAGGAACAACCAAATTTCACACCACACTCATCTACTCTCAATCCAATGTGGGTTTGGCGGCTGTTTATATAATGAAGGCCTGAAGAAGCTTGAAGCATGTCACTAAGTCCATTGGGATTGGCGGCTTGATTTCATTTCCATCCAGGCGCAGGTAGCTCAGTTGGGGTCCATGAAGGAAGGCATCCTGTTCTGCACGCAGTGTGGTGGGACATATTACTGACATGTTCACGTCTGTGGAGGGTAAGATAGCGTGAATGATTAAATAGAAGCACCGGAAAGTCTAGAGGTCTAGATGAAAAAAATAATGCCGTGGCCCTAAGGGACCAAATGACCTTATGTAATGAAAGCTGTAGAGATACAAACCATTGTCCAATAAGGTTCTACGCATATCCGTTTCATAAGAATAATCCTGAAAAATACTTGACCTAACAGGCGCAGTATTCTCACTCTATGCCCTGTTGTATTTTAGTATGGAATATTACATAGGAAATTGGTATAGAAATTCCTTCTCTATATGTGTTGCTTTTATTGGTTACTGAATAAAAAGCTGTCTTGACAGGATAGAGTAGAGTTAGGTGGGGAAAACTAATTTGAATGCTGGGAGAAAGAAGGCAGAGTAAAGAGATGCCATGTACCCACCAGAGGAAAAAAGATGCCAGCAAGCTGCCTACTGTGGAACCTTTCCAGTAAGACACAAACCTCATGGTAAAATATAAAATAATGGAAATGGGTTAATTTTAGATGTAAGAGCTAGCTAGCAATACACTTAAGATATTGGCCAAGCAGTATTACAAATGGTACAGATTCTGAGTGATTATTTTGGGGATGAGCAGTCGGGAACAAACAAGTGACCCCTTACAATGGGAAATATTGTTGAAAACAGTGATAAATCCAAGGTACATAAGCTATCTCAGTTATTTTCTAAGTTTACAGGTGAGATGGAGAATGTCAAAACTGCCTTACTATGCAAAACTGAGAAACATATTCAGAGGATTAAAGGCAGAGACAGCAGTTAGACCTGGTACAAAGGTGAGTGAGTCAATTCATGGGCGGAAGAGTTCTTGAAAGGATGAAATGATGTGACATCACCTTAAATATTCAAAATAAAGTATGGTACATTTGTAGAAAGTATTTATCATAATTCTACATAGAATACTTAAAGTCATGAATCTGTCCACATAAATATATGGAGAGAAGGTATTTGTCGACAGTTTAATTACAGAGGATTGAGGCCAGGAAATATTGTATCAACTTTGTATCTACTATTGATGGGAGAATGAGCATCTGCCTTGCTCCTGGCACCAACAGCTACATTGAGAATGTTCTGCAGAGTGAAGGGCTGTTACTTACCCAAAACTCAGAGAAGCTTGAAGAAGATGATCTCAAACACAATTCCATGTGTTCTGTTTTTGTCAAAAATGACCAAGAGCTCTTTTTCCACTATACCCACCTAACTTGGAGAATATCCAGCCCTATTTCCTAATGGTGCAAACAGATTAACAACAGAATTTAAAAAAAAATTATACTTGGATAATGGCTACTTTTTTGTAACTGTACCTTATCTTGTGAATTAACTTACTATAAACAGTGGCTCACATATAGAAATCAGATTTGTGGTTACATTTATTTTTTGCATACATAATTACTTTATCCTCATACAGACTTTACCAGAATATATGACTACACTTTCTACCTGGGTATTGTATAAAATGTTGGCTCAGACAGCATCTTTTCTTTAACTTGGGATCCTTGCCCACCAGGAATATTGTTTCATTCAGTGCCTTATTTAATATCCTTATCTCTCCCATATATCTTATCTAGTATATCTGAATAATTGGAATATGAGAAACAGGAGTTATAAATTTAATCATTTTTCCATAATTTAGGATTTTCCTCAGAGAGTGTAGAGACAGAATTTATAGGAGTATATGCATATTTTATGCTAAACTTCAAGCCCCTCATTATGTTCAGAGAAAATGTTTTTCCAAAGTCACAAAAAGGAAAGCCCACTGGCAATCTCAGTGGACTCGTCATATGAAAGTTCTCTTTGTTGCAAACAATTTCTAATAGCTAGCATATATGGCAAGATCTAGACACATTAACAATTATTATATCACAGTGTGATTGACAGACACCTCATCCAGTGGTTCTCAGCAAAGAGAGTCCCTTTCTACGTTTGCTTCTATGGTCAACAAAACTAGGTTCAGTGTATGAAATGAGCAGATATGGCTTCCCTTTGTTCGAGGTGAGAGACTGGAGCCTCTCCCTGGTTTGGGCTGTGCAGTTACTCCACATCCTTGGGCAGCCGCTATCACCCACCTGTGCCTGAGCTTCCTCTTTGAACTTCCCAACAACATCACACAAGGCTCTTGGTAGGTCGCAAGTTTCTCCAACCATGATCAAGAAACAACCACACTATTTCAGACCTGAACTGTTAGGCTCCACTTCAGAAGCCTCAGGTCATAAATATCTGGGGTCGGGGACCCCTACAATCATTCACAAACTCAGTTGAATCTGACACAGGCTAATACATAAGACTGAAATATGGGAATTACTTTCCCAGTCTTTGGAAACCCTCTGTGAAATTTCAGTAGAGAGCACAATGATTTACTTCTCAACCTTCCTCCCAGTGCTGGCTTCTCACTGCTGAAGAGTCTAGCTAAAGTTCTCAGCATTGCAACTCACATACAAGAGTCTGTGTTGGTTGAACCACCTGAAATTAACTTCCCACTCAGTGATCTGTGGGGTTTTATTGCAGATAAGGAATGCCCCTATAGGAGCTTATCTCTCAACAGGATAAACTTACAAACCCAGGATCCTTCTTAGGCATTACGATGTTTGGCTCAACTAGACAGACTCATCTAACAAATTTTCTCTGTTGTATCTCTTCCTTCTGACAGGAGTATTAAACAGTACATTTCCTTACCAAAGGGGAAAATGTGACTAGTGTAGTGGCAGCGTGCCATTTAGATTCAGAATTTTAGGTTCAAGTACATGGTGACAATTATAAAAACAGAAATCGGTGATGTCGAAGCAGTGCCCAGCAAAGAGATGCTGTAATCCTGTAATGGAATGGTCATGTGATCCTACACTTAATGAATCATTAGTGAATGATAATAAACCCGTGGTCCTCACCTGGTTTGCTTTCTACAAACCATTTTCATCAACTCTCACTTCAAAACTGCATTAAAAAAAACTTTCCAAAAAAAAAAATCTTCCCATGGTTATTCTCCCAAAAGACTTATACTGGAATTGAGGATGAATCTTAGGCTGTGAACCAGTACCATAGCCTGGAATGTAAAATTGCTTAGTTTCCCCACCCGAAACAGCCTGACATAAGAATCAACAGGAGGAGGTCATCTCAAATGCTTCCAAACAGGTATTTTTTGTAAACACTTCATCCCTGAATAACGAATCTTTGCTTTGAAAGACTTCACCCTTATCCACTCTCCACTCCGTATCTAAATATGTTTTCAAGAAAGAATAGTATTTTCCTCACTGTGGATATGTTACTGAGACCCAATGATCACAATTTCCCAGGGCACTAAAATCTTGAATATCCATAGTATTTCTCTATATGTATTTCCCTCCAGCATCAGGACCAGAGCCTGGGAACTTGTTGAGAGTGAGAAGTGCTACCCAATACCTAGTGACTCAGAAACTCTTGGGTGGGGGGACACTATAATACACACACTGGAATCCACTCTACATTGGAGCTTGTGGTCATGGTGATACTTAGGGAGGTTCAGGCATCAACTCTCTGCAATCCCTTATATCCTATTCTACATATCCTTTATGAAATTGTGCTTTCCATACTTTCTTCAACAAATTTACCTCACAGATTGCCAAACATGGTGGCACAATCCTATATTCCTGGTACACAAACACTGGGACAGGAAGTTGATCTGGTGTTCAAGACCCCTCTCCCCATGAGAGACATATTAAACTGTAAGTGATGTCTATCCAAAGAGGGAGAAATACCAGAATCTCTCCTCAGCAAAGTAAACAGAGGTGTTTCCTCTCTCCAATATGTAAAAGCTCTGTGTAGATGACTAAGATTCTGTTTTCAATCCTGAACTTGAAGATTTGGGAATTTTCACTTATGAAAGCAGAATCACCAAAACTGTGCAACGAAAACTGAAAATAACTTGTCAGTTCTAAAAGCCTGGGAGTTGCGTGCTGGTGGGGGTAAAGACGCAATTGCTCTGCTTACAAGGGCTAGAGACTGAACATCATGTGGACATTTTGGCCACAGGCACACCCTCATGGCTACTTACTTTTAATTTTGTTGTGATCGAGGTGGAGGTGCTGCAGGTTCGCATTAATTCGGGGAAAGTTTGTGAGCTGATTGTGAGACAGCTGAAGATCTAGAATGGACGACACATCGAAGCCTCTGGATGGGAGGCCGGCATCAGAGAGTTTGTTGTGGTTGAGTCTCAGGAAGGCCACTTTAGGAATCACATTGAAATAATTTTCAGGTATGGCTTCAATGGAGTTATTGTCCAGAAACAGTTGCATGGTGTTGGCTGGTAATCTTGGCGGCATGTTCCTCAGGGCATTCTTGGCCATGTTAAGCTGCATGAGGTTCTTAAGTCCCTTGAAGGTATCTCTTTGAAAGGCATTGTCTATAAGTTTGTTATGTTGCAGATCAAGAAGGGTCAGGTTTTCCAGGTTACTGAAGGTCCCCTGAGGGATCCTGGATACCTTGTTTCTAGCTAACTGTAATTGCTCCAAGCTTCTTGGCAATGGAGAAGGAACTTCCTCCAGCTCATTGTCTTCCAGAAATAGGAAAAGAAGCTTCTTTAGCTGGCTCAGGGCCCCCTTCTCAATCCCGTAGTTGGTTATTTTGTTCTTATTTAAATTGATCCATCTTAACTGGGTGGCATTCTCAAATGGTTTCTCAGGTATGGTTTCTATCTGGTTGTTTTCCAGGTAGAGGTACCAGATCCTTGAAGGAATAATGGGGATTTCTGTGAGACCCCTGTTCTCACAGTATAAGGCGGTAGGGAAACTGGGGGGACAGAAACATTCCCTAGGACAATAGAAGTCATCATGAGCATCCCAGTCCTCTGGGTCCTGTACCTCGTAGGCCTGCCTCACACTCTGTGTCCACACAGTCTCTGCTATGAGAAACACCCAGATCATCAAACACGTTGAGGTTGCCATTTTAGTACCTGCAGAGTAAGTAACATAAATGTTAGATCATTCATTGACCTTAAATACTGGCGAAAAATCAACCTAGAATGCATTCTTTATTCAAGGTAAAGCTGAGAATAGAATATCAACTTCTGATCCATGCATAGCCATTAATACACATTTCTTGAGTACCAATCACAGGCGAAGCACTTTACAGTCACTGAGACTGATTTACCGTCCTAAAACTATCTGGGTTTAACTGAGTCATAGTGAAAGCTAAGGAATAGAAAGCAAAGTTTAGAGACTCTAAGTGCTTTTCCATTTCAAGCTATTAACTTGAGAAACCTTACTGGAGCCGATAGTTGCCTATAAGAGAACAAAATGTGTTCTAATAAATGAGGAGACGCCTGTGCGCTGTTCCTAAGAGGTATGCATCTGTATGTGCTTTTATTTTTAACCCACAAATGGGAATAACATCTGGAGGTGATTTCTCAGGCTCTTTGGCCCTAAGACCAAAGGTCAATTTAAAAGTTTATGGTGAAGGATCTGAAGTAAAGTATGTGATTCATCTCCGGTTCTGTTGCTGAATTTTTCAGGTAAGTTTTACTGTAAGTACAGGATCAAATCAAGATGATCAGCCAGGAAGCAGAATAATTAATTTCTCACATAAATATTATCTCCTGCATAATTGTTATAATCTCACTTATATAGACTATTTTTGTATGAATGGATATATATGCTCATGACTGTGTGTGACAGAGATCATATAGAGTTGACATGTCAGGTATATCATTTTGACATATATTTATTTACCTATGGCACAATTAATCAGGAAAAGAACAAAAACTATTTAGAACATAAGTCAAAAATTCCCTTATATTTGTATCCAGTACAGATATACCAAGTATAGAGTTGATAGGTTCTGATGGATGATACTTTTAGAAGAAATAAACTTTCGTCCATTGAATAGCACCAAATATAATATTCACAAAGAACTACTGTCAGAGGAAAAATATATGCATAGTACCTATTTTAAATGTCAGCTTATGACATGTGTTACATATATATACATAAAATTTACAGTTTCCTCAATGTGCATTTAGCTAAACAAATCAATAATACGCACGAAGGCATTTTACCGATTTCTAGGTACATAAAATAAAATCACTCATTAATGGAATGTTGGTTTTTCATTCCTCCCATTAGTTCAGAATTGCTTCTGCAAGCTGTCAGACTGCCTCTGACTGCAGAATTCCTCTCTGGACTGCTTCCAACAGAGACAAACTCACTTTTCTTTACAAAGTAGAGACTTGGAATAGTTATTAAAATATAACACTACATCTTTTGAATGAGTACTCTGAATATCCAAACCAAACATTGTAAAAAGTACAAAAGAGTTTACCTTGCTTTCCAGGAATAATTTGTCGAGTCCCGTGGCTGGTCTGACGCTAGGTAAAATAAGTTGATGGGGGAGGGGGTGATCAAAGAAAGAAAACTTTTTGTTTTGGCTTTATGCTGTTAAACCTCCACTCAGAAAAAAAACGAAATGTATGGTGACTGGTCACCATGAAGACCTCTTGATGTATTGTTTCCACTCTGACAGGGTTCAGGATAGCTTACCTCAGCCTTCTTGGATCTTCTCCTTCCTTTTCTATTGGTCACTGCCCCTCACAGTAATGGATTGACCCAATCTTTGCTGTCGGGTTTTTAGAGTTTTCTGTAAGATATATGCACCTTGGCTCCAGTTCCAAGCCCTCCAACAATTGCAGCACCTTGTCACCTAGGAAGGTCAGCGTAGGAAAATTTTCCTTTCATTTCAAGCATAGTTTTTAATATTCAAGGCAATTTTCACTCTTACTTCACAGTTCCAGGGACGTTAAAGTGCACGGATGTATACCTCTGGTCCAGCACCCCGCAACTGGGGAGAATTTCGGTTGTAACTAAAGCAAAAAGAGATTTTGAAACATTTCTTTTTCTTAACGACCTTTTAAAACAATTAAACACCAAAAGTAAAGGTCAATGCGTTCTGTTCATGTGGACATATTTTATTCATTTATGATATAAAACAGATGCTGGAATGTTTTTAGTAAGAGAAACAGATTACAAAAAAAGTTAAAATTCTCTTTTGAGTAGCTATAGTTGATTTACGCACTAAATATAGTAAATTTGTTTCACAGAATCAATTATATTTTCTCTCTGTCTCCCTACTTCTTAACAATAACTTTAAGTATTTATTAAAATGGGGTGGCTTTTGTTACTATATTGTAACATATGTTTTACATTCAGAGACTTATAAGGCAATCTGCTGCATTAATTTTTTTCTTTCACATATGTTGAGGCTAAGTTCTTCTGTTTATCATATTCAAGGGTAAAAAAAAAGTGGTAACTCTAATGAGGGAGGACGCAAACAAAACTATGTATTATTTCATGCTGTATCCTTGACTATAGTCATTTTTGTTTGAGAAATACATGTTATTTGGAGGTGAAAGGCTTTAATGACTATGACCCATCAACACTGTTGACAGGAGTTGTATCGAAGACAGAGAGTAAAGTTGGGGAAGGAGCTGTCTGGTCATGTCCTCCATCTCCGTGGCCTCAACACAGGTCAAATAGGATTCACTTTTATCATTCACGCAACAACAATGGACTACCTCACAGGTTTGGAATGCTTTTTAATAATATAGAAACGCTACCTTGTCTTTGAAATTAGCAATATATATCCAAACAGAAAGAATATGTGTATTAATGGCTGTAGATAAAACAATATGACTCACATATTACTACATATTCCTACAAGTACAATGAGGATGTAGTTTTTAAAAACAGTCTAGAGTTTTTTTTTAATTGTTACACCTTTTTTTCATACCAACTTTCTCTTTTCCACGTTATGTTTTTTTCTTATTCTCCGTGTTTCCTGTTTCTTCCCCCTCCCCCAAATTTATGGGAGTGAAATATGGTGTTCAAATCTACACAGTCCTAATTTTCTTTTTGAGACAAACTGACTTCAGTCATTTCTAAACTTATTGCCCAAATATTTCTATGTGTTCAGTAGGAAGATCAACATATTCCACTTACTTCTCCAGTATATTTTCCATTTATTATTCTGCTTATGATCTCACCAACCTGGTTCCTTTGTTGCCATTTCTCTAAACTGCTTTGACAAAATCAGCAGTGGTCTCCATGTGTATTAATTTACTGATTAAATTACTTGACCTGAAGTCAAGTCACCAACTTAATTAAATGTCCCTGTAACCTGAAGACATCATCCTCTCCTGAGTTTCTCCTCCATTTTAGTAATACCCTTAGTCTGCATCTTAAGCCTCCATTTCTTCATTTTAACATCATGTAAAATGCAAGAGGTATTTCCAAGCCTATAAGAGTTTCAAGTTTCTGCCTGATGTCCTAGGACTCTTCTTGATGTAGCCCCACTTTCTACATGATTTCAAGCTCCCAGCCTTTCCTTCCATTACAGTGTCTCTCGAGCAAGTGTGTCTAAACTAGTCTTGGAAAAATACCAGTACTCCAACAAATGTGTGTCTGCGAGACAGACAGGATAACTATGGATAATTATTTCTCTTTTCCTTTGTCTCCTTATGTAAAATTTAAGCTAATACAAATGATCTACTTACAATGGTAAAACTATCCATCTGGCAATGACATTTAAATATGTCATTTAAAAATTTTTAAAAAAAATATTTAAAATTGTTCAGGGTATTATAAATGTGCAGATCAATCAAATCAGACATACTAGGTTTACTGTTCTGTTATTTCCAGTGCATGGCTAAATTTTTCTACTTCAAAATAATTTTATGGCTGTCGCCAACTGAAGATAATTTGGCCAGTCACCACTGTCAAGATCTATATGAGACAAAGAAATATAAAATCTGCTTTCATTGGTAGCAGTGACAGTTACATGGATTTTCCCTTATAACCTACATGGATGTATAATGTTTAAATTAAAGTGCTATTTAGTTGATTATCATGTAATGGGCACAATTGTCTTGAGAATCATAGGTGTGACATTAAGGCTATCTAATTTTCACTAGGCATACTAAGTGCTGATTAAGACAAAAATAAAAATTCTCTGTTGAAATACTGTTGTTCTAGATACATTTGTGGGCAAAGCAACTCTGCATCCTAGGCCTGTGGAAATAGGATAATCTTACAATTCCTCTTGCTTGTTCTGATGTTCTTCATTTCATATTCCAAGTTAGCTGCTTGGTTGTTTCCTTTTCAGAGTAATTTCCTTCTACCCTGCATGTTTTTAACCTCTTATTTTCTCTGAAGAACTTACATGGTTAAACATGTACTTACTGAACCTACCCACTTGCCTGACATTTGCAATGTGTAGAATTCTAATTTGGAGTAACATTTCTGTAAGGCTTTGGAGATAGTCTCAGTTATGGTTTGCATTGCTATGAAGCGAACCTATGACTACAGCAACTCTTATAAAGGAAACATTTATTTGGAGTGGCTAACTTACAGTTTCAGAGATTCAGTTCTGATTCAGAAACTTGAAGGGTAGCATGGCAACTTGCAGGCAGATGTGGTGCTGAAGGTAAGAGTCCTTTTATCTTGACTCTGAGGCAACAGGAACTCAACTGGCTATCATACCAAGGAAAGCTTGAGAAAAAGAAACTTTGAAGTCTCCCCCAACAGTGACACACTTTCTCCAACAAGACCATACCTACTTCAACAAGGCCACACCTCCTAAGAGTGCCACTCCATTTGGAGGCCATTTTCTTTCAAACTAGCACAAAGATGTTCACAAAAACAATTATTGTGAATTTCAATAGCTTTCATAATGATTTCTTCAAAATTTTGAGTTTTGCGGTGGAATAGTCCTCTACGCGATGTGAATATGTGTTGCTGTGATTAGTTTAATAACAAAGCTGACTGGCCCATAGCTGAAAAGACAAATGTTAGGCAGGAGAACCAGAGTAGGAGAATGTTAGGAGCAAGAAGGGCAGAATCTAAAGTTGCCAGCAAGACACACAAGAAACTGGAGATTAATGTTCCATGTTGTTATGGTACTGCCAAGTTGCAGAACATAAATAAAGAATGTGGGTTAACTTAAAATATAAGAGTTAGTTAATAATAAGCCTGAGTCAAACATTTATAATTAATACAAGGCTCCGTGTGTTTGAGAGTGGCTTATGGGACAGGAAAACTCTGCCTACATCTTTTTTTTTTTCTGAAAATTTTCAGATTTTTCTTTTCTTTAGTGTATTAGTTATTCAAGAAAATCTTTGAACTAGAGGTTCATACCTACGCAGGCTAAGAAGGTTTTCCTTGATTCTCTAGTTCTATAAGTATCAGAAAGCAAATATCCTGGTCAAAGTTTTCTTATCTCATATTTTAAAATTCACATTGTAAGAATTTTTTTAATTTTTATTTAAAAACATTTTTCATACAATATATTTAGTCATATTTTTCCCTATACCAATCTTTCCTGTTCTTCCTTCCTAACTCCTTACCAACCTAATTTAATTCTCTCTCTCTCTCTCTCTCTCTCTCTCTCTCTCTCTCTCTCTCTTTCTCTAGCAGGGAAGAAGCTAAACAAACCAAACACATGAAATCAGAACAAATAAACTGAAAATAATCAACATCACAAAAAGAACCAAATCAAAACAACAAGCACAGGCAAAAATATGGAGGCCTGTTTTGTGTGAATGCTAGCCAACTCCCCGTGGGGCATGGGACATCCCTGTAGTGTGGATAACTATCTACTGACACTCCGTTAGAGAAAACTGATGCTTTGTTACCAGCAATTATCAATTGTAAATAGTTTTGGTGAGCTGCAAGATTTTGTGAGACTTCCCCTTCTCAGTGTTAGGACTTTGGAAATTTGACCTTTTTGATCCTGCGCATGACTTGTGTGTGTTTTAACAGTATTTACGAGCTCTTGTATGTCTCAGTCCTACTGTGTCTAGAAGAAATTTTACTGGTACATTTTCTTTTCTTTTCCAGCCTATTGTGCTGTGCATAGCATATTTACTATGAGAAATTGTTCCTTAGTGATTCTTCCCTAAAATACTTATTTATTTTTATGTCATTATAGTCTTCCCTTATTCTACTTAGGATATTAATTTAAAGTGTTTTGATGATGATATTAGGTTTTATTATTACTTACAATAATTTTGCTTTCTTTCATTCTTCACTTTTTTGCATTTATCATACATACATACACACACACGTATATGGTATAAGTTAGCAAAAAATATCACATTTCTTCTTAGTATATTCTGTAACTGTGAATTTTTTCTACTGATGTGAAGTTTTACTATAATGCTGGAGAGAATGTGGAGTAAGGGGAACACTCATCTATTGCTGGTGGAAGTGCAAACTCATTCAGAGACTTTAGATATCAGAATGGCAGTTTCTCAAAAGAATGGGAATCAATCTTCCTCAAGACCCAACAATACCACTCTTTGG